CACACACACACACACACACACACACACACACACACACACACACACACACACACACACACACACTTACACACAAATAAAACACAAAAGCTTCAATTCCTCTCTGTTTTGATTCAGGAGAAATTGATGCATTTTGTCTCTTATTATAATACATGTGTTGTATCTTGAGTTGTCGAGTGTACTTTATTACCAATCAGTCACATATTTACATTAATTGATCACTCATGAAATATTATTGATCATTTTACCCCAAAAAATGTTAAATATAAAACACAAATAACTAAATCTGTGTTTTATCACACACTTGTATGATTGTCTGGATAGGTGCACAAAGAATTCAATTTGCTGTAGAGGAAATAGTGACAGTCGGATGGTGCTCAGAACAGAGAGCAGAGTTCCCTCTGCAAAACTGAAAGAGTACAGAATATCCCTGACGAATATCCTGTTTCTTCCCCCTTGAAAGTAACTCTTTCCTCAACATGAGAAACTGGTGAAGAAAGTAAAAGTTGCATTCTCTGTCTATCGTTAATGTACGTGTGCGTTATTTCTGTATACTCATATAATAACATTCAGTTTAAGCGATATGATAGATTAAGGTCGTTTGTGATGAAACCAGTGTGATCCTTTTCTTGTAAGAAAAGGACATGAGTACGAACCCCACTTAAGAAAAACTATGCTTGCCCTGGCTTCTTCCGTCTATTGACTGCGCGGTATGATTTTCTCACAGTCTGGAATGGCGCTGAGAGGCACTGTTGATACATAACGTCTCAAAATCGATTTAGACTGTGCTGATGGGGGCGTAACAACCAAAGTAATGAAGAAAACCACCTGCATGTAGCTGAAGCAATGTGAAGACCCTTATTGTTAGAAGAAAAAAATTAACAAATAAACCAAACGAGAAATATCGTCGTCTGTCAACAGAAACATGGACATTTTTGCTATCTTTTAATACGCAAGAGAAAAAAAAAGATTTCATATGATCGTTATTATTTGTTTTATGTATAGATGGTACCTGCAATTGTCTAACTGTATACACGCTTCCTCCTATAACATACTTTCACAATCAAAATGGACACCAAAATACTTTTTCCCCTGGGCTCTTGTATAACTACCTGTATATTATTGCCTATGATTCCTTATATTACCATAAACGTAGAATGAAATTTTCCAACATGAACGTCTGACTGTTGTTTAGTTTTGAATATTGACAATAGACACAACGATTCTCCAAATTTAGGCGTGATCAGCCAGTTTTCTGAAATATAAATGTCCGATCTATGTTTTTACTTTTCGAAAACAACTCAAGAGGTAATGATGGAATTCTCCGACATATGGCATCCACCATCTTGCAATTTGTTATTCTGGAAAACTGAGGACAATATAAGTATAAGTTATAGAACTCTTCTGGCGCTTTCTTTCACAAACCTAATTTCAACTTTTATCACGCAAAGTTTTCAAGTGTGTTCCAAGATACTCTTGTGTACAATGACAATCGTAGTTAGATTCCTTTGTTCACAAGTCATTGATTTTTAAAATATTATATAAACTACAGGCAGCAAAAATATCTGATTCTGCTCGCAAATCCCTCACTTCTGTGCCCCTAC